ATCATGTCAGATCTTTAAATCCCACTACCCCCCTTTCTCAATATTCCTTCATACCCTTATATCACAAGCATTTTATCAACTTTCATTTTAAGCATCCCATCAATTCTACATTTGCAGCCTTCTGGGCAGTATATTGCACTTTTTCATGACCCTTTGGCTTATTTCAAATTTCAAGATTCCAATTTTAAGTTTATCAGCAAAAACTAAATGTGAATGTCAAATAGTAGTCTGCGATTGTGTCAATTTCCTTTTCAATTGATTAGTTTCACAGAGAGACCATTTGAAATCTGTCTGACGATAACTATGTGAAATTAACTGCATTGCACACAAAAAGAGCAAAATACAATTGAAATCCTTTTTCATTGCATACTGCCAAGGTTTGCAACTTTACTGACCAGAAGAATTTTACTTTATAGATCTCAATCCCTTTGCTATGCACCCTCCTTGTCTGTCTTCAGATTGAACCTGAAGACCTGTCTCGTCAACTGTGCCTACAGTCACCTTCCTGGCTCGGTGTCAAGCTCTGCCACTGTTAGCTCCTCGAGATGCTACCCTGTGTTTAAGGTGCTATATAAATGAAATTTGTTGTAATTATTTTTCAAATATTTTAATATTTTGACTACAACTGATATAAAACATTATGACCTGTTTTTCAGTGAAATTCCCTAAACCAAAAAGAGTTGTCAAACACTTTCCATTTATTTGGGGAAGGGATTTTCTGGATTTGCTAACAAAAAGGGAAGTTGAAACGGTACGATGCTGCTCTAAAACTCATGAGCACCTGTCGTTCAGTAAAGGTCCTTTGTCAGATTTTAAGAGTGTATAACAGTCAGATAATCACATCTGTGGTCATCCAGTTCCTCTAGGGTTTTACGAGAGATCTGATCTTTTATTTGCGAAATTTTTCCACCCATTTCCTCAGTAAAGACAGATGTGAAGTAGGAAGATAGGAATGTGCAATCCTGTAAAAGATCATTGTTGTTCTACTCAATTTAAAAACACCACTATTTCATCTCTCATATCCCTCAAAACATTTCTGTATCAAAACACTACCTCTCTTTTTGAATTTTCTGGCACAATCTACTCCACCTACTCCCCATTTCATAACTCTTGTTTCTTTGTGCAACACATTTTCCCTAGATATTTAAAGAAGTGCTCTTAATTTAATTATATTTATCTATGGAATCTTTTAAAGTATCTACTTTGTTAAAATTAATTTTGCTCATAATCGTGTCAACACATTCTGAGTCCTTTAACTTTGTAGTTAGAGCACTCACCTCGAAAGCGAGAGGACCTGGGTTCGATTCCAGGGCTAAACTTTGGGCAAGTTTCCTTACTCCACACACCTCTGTTTACCTAGGGGTAAAATTGAACCCGGTTGTTATACGATTGGCAGATCGCTTTTCCGGGGGTAATAATACCTTAAGAAAAATTTAGTCACTCAATCCACGACTCTTTGTGGGACACTGCTGTCTGCGATTGGCTGCCACGTTTCGCCTACAAGATATACAGTCAATTCACTTTACCCCTACCCCTGGCTCGGCCCCGGGATCAGTTACTGCGAAGCACTCCGAGACACCGTCTGGTGTGGAGGGCGCTATATAAATCCAAGTTGTTGTTGTACAGTATATTCTGTGAAGAGCTTTGAGATATCTCGAAGTCGTGATAAGGCATTATATCAAATGCAAGAAATATTATGTAAATGTTTCCCACGTTTCTACTGTGCTCTACGTCTTAGATCTCAATTCAAACTCCACTCTGTTAAAGACAAAACAGTTTGCATCACTGTCCTCTTTGAATGCCATTATGAACATTTGAGACCTGATGATAATACATTATGCTCATTGGATCCAAAATGCTGCTCTGCCATGACCTCTTACTTATGAGTCCAACAGAGTCAGAAAGATTTTCACTCAATTTATAACTGAGTAATTGAAATCCACCATGATTAATGTAGATTAACTCTTAGATAGAGAGTATCTGGTTAAGAGAACGATTGAATGTAATATAAGTATAGGCGTAGGTAATCAAATACCCTGTGAAATACAATAGTTACCATGCTGCTTAGAATGTGGAAATGTCATCTGTGAAATGTGGTTTGTCAGGGCTGAATAATGTATGCTGTAATATTAGATTGCTATGCTGCAGATTCTGTGCAATTTCTTTAGTGGGAAATTTTAAAGCTTTATTTTCATGGAAGTCGTACGTATTTTCACGTAACTAAGTTCAGTAGAACCTGTTTAGGTCAGTCAGGTGTCTAACAAATGAAGAAACTCTTCACATACTTAATCCAAACTGAGAGTTCCATGCATCCTGTCTACACATGAAAATTCACGTGTATTGGTGCAAAATGTAAATGGTTGGTTGGAAGGAATAGTGGGCATGTCTTGTTTTCTATAATGTTTTACCTTATTTATTTTATCTTATTTTCCATTCTATATTCCATTTTATTTAATGTATTGCTATAGATTGCGTGTGGTATGTTCATACCATTTATGGAAGATGTAGACTCAATGAGCCAAATGGCTATATTTACTTTAATCTTATGCCATTCTACTTGTTGAAGTGTATTGTCAACTATTGTAGTATGCAGTATTATAGCTATGGAAAATATAAAATATAAGTGCAGTTCAGTAAAAGAACTGCAGATATATTTTAAATTTTCCAAAGAGTGTTTTGGACATTATTGCAGATGGATTTTGTTCAGGTCCTGGTGGAAAATATGGAATCTTGTGGAAAATTTTAATTGAAGTAATTGTAATTGTAGCAATGCCCAGAATCTGCAGCATATCAATCTAATGTAATTGGAGCAATGTATACAGTTATTCAACAACAATTTGAATTTATATAATGTCTTCACATGGGGCAGTGTCTTTGAGTCCTAACAGTGGCAGAACTTGATGCTGAGCAGGGAAGAGGGGGAGATGACCAGTTGAAGAGATAACAACAACAAGATTACATTTGTATAGCGCCTTTCACGTCGGGAGGATGTCCCAAGGAGCTGGACAGCGTACAGCATTTCAGACCCGAACTGGGGTTGGGGTGGTAAGGGAGGGGAGGAGAAGGGGGGTGGCCAATGAGGTGGTTAAAGAGGAGGGTCTTGAGGCGGGACTTGAAGGAGGCTAAGGAGGGGGTGAGGCGGAGTGACTGGGGGATGGCATTCCAGAGGTTGGGGGCAGAGTGGCTGAAGGCTCTCCCACCAATGGTGGGGCGGGTGGGTCAGTGGACGTGGAGCAGGCCAGAGCCGGCTGAGCGGAGGGCGAGCGGGTTGGTAGGGGGTTAGGAGGTCACAGAAGTAGGGTGGGGCGAGGCCATGGAGGGCTTTGTATGTGAGAACCAGGATCTTGAACTGGATCCTCTGAAGGATCGGGAGCCAGTGGAGTCGGGCGAGTGAGGAGGAGATGGGGTCATGGAGTTTGGTGCGGGAGAGGACACGGGCTGCAGAGTTCTGGATTATCTGCAGCCTGTGGAGGGAGGAGTTGGGAAGGCTGACAAGCAGGGCGTGTGCATAGTCGAGCCTGGAGGTGATGAAGGCATGAACAAGAGTTTCAGTGGCCTGAGGGGTGAGATAGTGGTGGATTCGGGTGATGTTACGGAGGTGAGGGAAGGCACTTTCATGGCTTGAATGTGGGGGAGAAAAGACAGTTAAGGGTCGAACAAGACACCGAGGTTCCTGACTGGCGGTGAGTTGTAGTGTGCAACCGTGGATGTTGATGCTGCCAGAGCCTGAGGTGCTGAGGCGCCGGCGCGAGCCAATCAGGAGGGCCTCAGTCTTGTTCACATTCAACTGTAGAAAATTTGCCCTCATCCAGGACATGATGTCCGACAGACAGTCTGTCAGGACAGCAGTGGTCCTGGAATTGAGGGTGGAGGCAGAAATATAGAATTGGGTGTCATCCGCATTATGTGGAAGTTGACCCCATGTCTGTGGATGATGTCACCAAGGGGGAGCATATAGATATTAGAGAGGAGAGGGCCAAGGACAGAGCCCTGGGGATACCAGACGTGATAGTGCGGAGGCTGGAGGAGAAACTGTTAGAGGCAACAAAGTGGAGATGGTGAGAGAGATAGGAATCGAACCAGGCAAGGGCAGGTCCATGAAGATTGAGTAAAGCGGAGAGGCGGTGTATGAGGATGGAGTGGGCTTCAGGTGCAATCGGAAGACTGGCAAAGAGGGGCAAGGCAGAGGGATTGAGGGGAGAGTTCCACAGTTTTGTCGCAGCGTCGTGGCTAAAGGCACACTGCCGATAGTGGACTGAAAAGACGATCAAACTTGTAGGAGGCCGGACGCATCATATACATTTGATTTTGGCATGTGCAATTTAATATTGGAGTATTTCTGTTCTACACAATATATTGATGCTACAGAGTACATAACATCAACTTGCATTTATATAGTATCCTTCATGTAGCGCTTCACAGGGACAACGAGCAAGAGAGAGGAGGAAGAGAAGAGGGAGGTGGCCATAGCCGATTTGAAGCAATACTTAAAGAGAAAAAGAGAGGGCGAGGCATAGTTGAAGAGGGAGGGAGTTTCAGAAGTTAGAGGCATAACCTCTTATTGAAATCAATATTAATTCACTCAAAGAAAACCTTTTTTGCATCTGTGGCTTGTCACTGAGTTTGGAGATCACCTATTTGGATGCTGCTGTGCACTCAATGTGCACATATCTGACATATCACTTATATTTCCAGATGAAGATTTGGATTTTTAAAATGTGTTGATTATATTTTGGGGGACAAGGATCTTTATGGGTTTCACTGAGAGCTTTTCAGCAAGTTCATTGCCAATAAAGTGCTTTCTTCTTTGTCTCACTGTACAGTGGTGTCCTTTATATTTCCCTGATCCATTTGCTTGGACTTGAGAGATTCTTGGTACATTATACAGCGGTGTATATATTTCCTGGTACATTTCCCTTCTTTGCACTAATGAAGCAGCAACTATGTCCTTTTTTGATTTTGCTGGAACTTACATAATTTTGTTTTCCTGTTTAATTTAGGGGAAATATTATGATTATTATGATGAAGGGCATCTAGAGCTCGAGCAAGCTTCCTTGGACAAACCAATAGACAAGGTAAGAATCTAAAACACACCTGATCTCACAGATGTCTTGTCCCATTGTTACACCATAAATTCTTTTTGAAAAATTCTCAATTAGTTTTGCTCATTAGAAATAAACAACTTGATGTTTTTTATTGTGCAGTTATATTTAGATTCATCTTTAGTTCAATGGATTAATGATTAAAATCCATAAGGCTCAACTGGCTGGGGCACCAGAACTTAAACCACACAGATCATGAAAATCATACATTGCCTTCTTGGTCTTTGATACGTCATCTGATCTAAAGTGATGGCAAGCACAGTGCAGTTAGGTACAGGACCCCTTGACTGGGGAAAGGAATAAAATTTCATGGAATGTGTGGATATACACAATACAATACAAAATTACCTTTGTATAGTGTCTTTCACGTCAGGAGGACGTCCGAAGGCGCTGAGCTGGTGGAGGGGGGGGAGAGGGGGTGATCTGGGGTAAGGGAGGGTGGAGAGCAGGAAGGATAGGAGGGTCTTGTGACATGCCTTAAAGGAAACATGGGAGGGAGCGAGGCAAAGGGAATATGGGATGGAGTTCAAAAAGGTGGGGCGGAGAGGCTGAAGACCTGACTGCCGATGGTGGGGCGGGCCGGGCGAGGGGATGTGGAGCAGGCCGGGGCCTGATGAGTTTTAGCATCCCAAGGTCTGCCAATGTTCAAATTGGATAATGATTGCCTGGCTAGAGGCACACAGGAATGGAACAAGATCAAGAAAGACAATTACAATCTGGTTGGTTATCCCAATGTTAAATATCATTGCTCTCTGCCTCTCACAGTCCTCAGGATCCATACATGGCATGGAAAGGAATAATTATATTGGTGACTTTCTTTATCAATCCGGGTTTACTCTTATATTTTAATTTGAATGTGGAAGACACAACAAGGATGGTGATATATGTTTTCAAGTTTAATTTTTAAGTATATAAGAAACAAGATAACTACATGAATGTCTATGCTATTGTTTAATGTACACTACCATTAAATTCCCATTGTCATTATGAGTACTGAATGGGGCAGCTGTCTGTGAATGGAGGCACAACAAGAAAGGTGGGTAGCTTTGGATTTTTTAAATATGAAATTGTTACATGAGTGTCTTATGGGCAGAGGGGATCTAATAAAAATAGACGGAACAGAATCGGATAACATGTTGGTTTACGTGGTCAATGTTTCAGTCAAGTTGGGTGCTGGAGGTGGGAAATGCAAATCTCTGAAATTTGGTGGTGGTCAATGTGGATATATCCTTTGAGAAAGGGGAGTTTGACTCTGTTGGGAAAATAAATCCAAATTCCCTTGCTTTTGCACCCATATCTCCCAGTTGTTTAATGAGAAGTGTGTATGTGGTGTCTAGTTTTCCAGCGCCTTGTGATGTCCTCCCGATGTGAAAGGTTCTATACAAATGTAATCTTGTTGTTGTTGTAGTTAGCTTGACAGATATGCAGTCAATAAAATAAAGACAGTTATTATGTTTTGCTTCTGTGTAATCATAAAACAAATTAAACATGGTTATAGGTTTGGTGTTGTACATTCACAAACCCTTTTCTACTGATGGCTGTGTTTGCCTGGCTCTGTTGTGTGTCAGCCTGGCTCATTTGGTAGCATTTTGAGTCAGAAGTCCAGGCTGACACTCCAATGCAGTGTGCTGCAATGTTGGAGGTGCTGTCCTTCTGATGAGACTTTAAACTGAGGTCCGTCTACGTGATCAGGTATAAGTTAAAGTTAAAATGGCACCATTCAAAAGAGAAAGAAGTTTCTTCTGGTGTCCGAGCCACCAAATAAAATTGGTCATTCACTTCATGACTGTTTGTAGGACGTTGTGTGTGCAAATTGTCTGCCATGTTCACCTACGAATTTTACAGTTATTACACTTTATAGTCTATCCTGTGAAGCCCTTTGAGACATCCTCCAAAGTGCTTTGAGATGTTCTCCTGTCATGAACGGTGCTGTATTAATGTAAGGATTATTAATTATTATTAATATCAATCTACAGTCATTAAAAACAATCTTGTTCTATTGTAACAACTATTGGGTACTGAAAGGGGCAGCTGTCTGTGAATGGAGGTACAACAAGAAAGGTGGGTAGCTTTGTTTTTTTAAATATGAAATTGTTACGTGAGTGTCTTATGGGCAGAGGGGATCTAATAATAATATAGTCTAGTAGACGGAACAGAATCGGATAACATGTTGGCCTACGTGGTCACCGTTTCAGTCAAGTTTTGGGTATTTTTAATCTTTTGTTTGCTTTTTAATCATTGTTCCAACCTCCCCACCCATATCCTTTGAATGTGACGCAGACAGTAAGAAATTGTGTACATTTTACCAAACTTAGTGGCATGCATTTATGACAGGAAAATACTTATATATATTTATATTTATATATTCCCTTTCAAAATATAAAAGCACATTATCGAGTTGGTATTTATAGAAGTTTTGCAAGTTCCACTGTAAGGTAATAAAGAGTCCCGTAGCTCAGTGGTTGGAGCACTCGCCTCGCGAGCGAGAGACCTGGGTTCGATTCCCGGCAGGGCAAAACCTTGGGCAAGTTTCCTTACTCCACATGCCTGATAATAATCCCTCAAAAAAAAATTGGTCACTTCAGTCCATAACCGTTTGTATCTGTCTGCGTCACATTCAAAGGATATGGGGCGGGAGGTTGGAACAATGATTAAAAAGAAAACAAAGATTAAAAATACCCCAAACTTTTGTAAACAATAGCTGTTACACTGCTGTGTGCGATTGGCTGCTGCGTTTCACCCACAAATATACAGTCAATTCACTTTACAGTATATTCTGTGAAACGCTTTGAGATGTCTAGAAGACGTCAAAAGTGCTATATCAAAATGCAAGGATTATTTATATATTATATAATAATATTCTTAATGAAAATTAAACACACAAGCTGGCTGTGGCTTGATAAAGAATGCTTTTAAACTACACATTATTTAATGTCCTGAAGTCAACTTCGAAGAATGGGTCTGAATAATATTTATCAAGACCTGAGTTGTTAGCTTCTAAGGAAGGGAGAAACTGAGCTAAGAAATCATTTAACTATGTGCACACCTAAGAACTCATCTGTTTAACATTATATTTGGCATGGCTCAGAACTTTGATTTCTGTACTTCTACTCAACAACAACAAATTACACTTGTATAGCGCCCTTCACTTGGAAAGACATCCCAGGGCTGGACAGTCAGGGGTTTTTAGACCCGAACTGGGAGTTGGGGTCAGGAGAGGTGGAGGGCAGGGGTGGTGGGGCTGTGGGGTTGGCCAAAGGCAAGGTCAAAGAGGAAGGTCTTTAGATGGGACTTGAAGGAGGCAAGAGAGGGGGTGAGGCAGAAGGACTGTGGGATAGAGTTCCAGAGTATGGTGCAGAGACGCTGAATGCCCAACCACCAATGGTAGGACGAGATGTAACAGGTCAGTGTCTGCTGTGCGGAGGGAGCAGAAAGCTGATATTAAGTTAACAGGTCTGAGAGGTAGGAGAGGGCAAGGCCGTGGAGGGCCTTGAAGGTGAGGACGAGAATTTTGAACTTGTTCCTCTCAGGGATGTGGAGCCAGTGGAGCCGGGCGAGGGTGGGTGTAATGGGGTTACGGAGCCTGGTGCAGGAGTGGACATGACCTGCTTGTGGAGGGCAGAGTTGGGAAGGCTGACAAGCAGGGAGTTGGCATAGTTGAGCCTAGACGTAATGGAGTCCTGTAGCTCAGTGGTTAGAGCACTCGCTTTGCAAGCGAGAGACCTGAGTTCAATTCCAGGCAGGGCGAAACCTTGGACAAGTTCCCTTACTCCACACGTCTAATAATAATCCCTCCAAAAAAAAACAGCAATAAATTGGTCATTTTTAATCTATGACTGTTTGTGGGACATTGCTGTGCGCAATTGGCTGCCGCGTTCGCCCACAAATATTCAGTCAATTCACTTTACAGTATATTCTGTGAAGCGCGTTGGGACGTTTAGAAGACGTGAAAAGTGCTATATCAAATGCAAGGATTATTATTATAATGGAGGCATGTTTGAAAGTTTCAGTGGCCTGAGGGGTGAGGCAGTGGCGGAGTCGGGCAATGTTGCGGAGGTGGGGGAAGGCAGAGCGGGTCATGGCACGGATTTAGGGAGAAATGACAATTGAAGGTCGAACAAGACGCCCAGGTTCCTGACTGGCTCGGTGAGGTGAAGTGTGCATCGGTGGATGCTGATGTTGCCAGTGCCTGAGGTGCTGAAGCGCTGGTGCGAACCAATCAGGAGGCCCTTCATCTTGCTGATGTTCAACTGTAGCAAGTTGGCTCTCATCCAGGACTTGATGTCTGATAAACATTCTGTCAGAACATCTTGTCCTGGGATCGAGGGTGGAGGCAGAGAAGTAGAATTGGGTGTCATCTGCATACATGTGGAAGTTGACCCCATGTCTGCAGATGATGTCACCAAGAGGAGCATAAACAAGTTGAAGAGGAGAGGACCGAGGACACAGCCCTGAGGAACACCGCATGAGGTGGTGAGGGGCTGGAGGAGAAGCCGTTTGTGGAGATGAAGTGGAGCCGGTGTGAGAGATAGGATCTGAACATTCTGAGAGGAGATGCAGTGGAGGAGGATAGAGTGGTCCACAGTGTCAAAGGCAGCAGAGAGGTCGAGGAGGACGAGGAGGCAGAGGAGCCCTGGTCACAGATAGACAGAATGTCATTTGTCACTTTGACCAGGGCTGTTTACTGGAGGGGTTTGTAAAGGGAGTGGCAGGAGAGGGAGGAATGAAGCTGGGAAGCAACAACTTTTTCGAGGACCTTGGAAAGGAACGTTGGAGATGGGGCTGTAGTTTGTGAGCAGGGATGGGTCCAGGGAAGGTTTTTTTAGGATAGAGGTGATGACAGCTGTTTTTGGGTGGTTGGAACCCTACCAGTTGACAGGGAGAAGTTGACAAGGTCTGAGAGTAAAGGGCCGAGGAAGTGGAGCTGGGAGGTAAGGAGAGGGGTAGGGATAAGGTTGAGGGAGCAGGTGGTTGGCTTCATGTGGGTTATCGTGGTGGTGAGAGAGGAGGGGGAGACGTGTTCGGAGGTGTGTAGGAAGGGATGGATAGAGGCTGGAGTGTGAGGGAGAGTTGGGGAGGGGGTGGTGGTTGGGAGAGTGGAAGCAGGTGAACGGATCCGCTCGATTATAGTTAGTGACAGCAAAGAACATAGTCATATTGGCATAACCCTGCTCCTCTGATATTATTCTGATAATTTACATTCTCCTCCTCTCCCTTCGCCTTGTAGTCATCCTGAATACAGTTGTGATAAGTCCCAAATAAAAGCTGTTGCTTTACTTGCAAATTCTGCTGTTCCTTTGAAATAAAGTGAAAAGTGGGTTTCCTCCCAGACCAGAATGCCATCAAGATTTTAACCATTTTTAAAAGCATTATTTGTGCCTAGATCAATGCTGTACAGAGGTTTGAGAGTAGTGTAAGGGAGGAAGAGTCATTTAAGGGAGGAAAATATGAACATGTATCCATAAAATACAATTCAAAGTATAATGTTTTCTTACTAAAATATTGAAAAGAAAATAAGAATTTTATGTTACAGAAGTCATTGACTGATAGTGGCACTCAAACGGTGTTATTTGTCAGGCAAGGGGAAAATGTAGCCCCGTGTGTTTAGGTCTCAACCTCAGAAGAGCTTTCTATGTCATGCAGGTGTCTTTTCATTTCCTTAATTGTTTGTCCTGGTGACTTCCTTGAGTGAAATTGTCAATTCACTGCCCAATGGTGCTGCATGTGAGGGCAGTTTGGTTTGTCATTTCTATGTTCACTGGAAACTGCATTGAGACTAATTACTCAGGAGATTCTTTAGAATTGTTGGGGAGTACAAGTAAACAGCTCATTAGTCTGACCTGAAGTTAGACTCAACCCCCAGTGTCAAGACAACTGTGTGCCGACTATCTTTCTTTAAGACATCAGGTAGTCCTTTTAGGTTTTTTTCTTCCTCTAAAATGCATACAATTACAATATATTTTTATTTTGTATTGAGGTAGGGAATGAAAAGCCCAATGAAGTAGTTTAAAGGGGAATGTGTGCATATAACACATTAGTAAAGGTATTAAACATGTGAATGGAAGGTATTTGTGTAAAATCTGGTGTTTGCATTCTAACATCGGCAATGATGGAATATGGAGTATCCACAGTTTCTTTTCTGCTGCAGTGGTCCAATGAACAGTCAACAACAACAACAACAACAAGATTCCATTTATAAAGCGCCTTTCACGTCAGGAGGACGTCCCAATCTTGTATTCCATGATCTATTTTTCCTTTCAAGATCTTTGCTTCTGTTTATCTTCACATTTAAGTTTGCATGTGCATAATGTTAACAGCATGGTGTTTGACATCTTGTCCTGGAATGATAATGCAGAAAGAACAGTGTACACATCACATATTATTCCAAGAATATGTGTTATTATATTTATATGCTGGTTCATACAGGTTCACTGAGACTGCCTCAGAGGGTTGACTCAATTCTGACATTCCATTGCCCATCATGTCACCTGGGAACCAACTCAGCTCTAAGGAGACCCGACATACCACCCCTCAGGAGAACTCATAGCATTTGGAACTTTAAATTGAAGCTCATTATAAAGTTGGAAGACTTGCTTACATCATTTTAATCTGGTGAACTTTCTGCTGTATTGTCTATGGAAATCTAGTGCTGTTCTACAATTTACAGAAAAGATGGTGCGGTGGGAAAAGATAAAATATCTGCAGTAGCTATTCGGAATACCATAATTTTCATGATGAACCTATAATAAAGCATCTGGATATCAGTTATATGCAGTTAGAGCTCAATGTAATTGCCTGGAGCAGTTTAATCCTAAACATTTACTAACTTCTAAATACATGATGATCATGTTTGGTTAATTTCATTTAATAAGCAGTTTTATGATGCACAGTAATTTCATTGTTTTGGCCCCTTAAGTATTAGTTTTATTGAGAGCAATTAGGCATGACTAATTCTGCTACTTTGTCTTTGATTATGATACATTTTCAACAAAACATCTTAAATGCTAAGTGCCATGCAATAATAAATGCAATCTATTAACATGTGTCAGACACCCGGCTGACCAAAAATAATCTATTAAATGCTGTTTTTTATATTGTGATTGTAAAAAGTAATTTAAAAGTTATAGCTCCAAGTTTCTGTTCGGAATTTTGCAGTAGCGAGTTGAGAAATGTTCTTTCTCACCTTTTTGGACAGAAAATTAAATGTAACATCTGTGGTTTTATTTGAGAACTAGGCATCTAACAATGATTTTGTTGGAAGTTGAGGAAGTAAATGACTGAACTATCATCATGTAATCTCCTCGTGCTTACTTACCCAACTTGGGCATTATTGATGCCGCATTTCAAGAGATATGGGACATGTGATAGCAGCTGTAAGCTTATGCTGAAAAAGTACCAATACAATAATCAGTATTGAGACAATTGTTGTAAGGGAAACGTCATAGCTGTAATAATGAATCAAAATGTTGGCACAAAAAGATAGTTTTTAACCAGCCAGGTTGTTGTAATAAATTGTTCTTTAAAGCAAATGCAGTACTACAAACTTCTCAAAGGCTTACATTAAAAGTGGAAGTGCATATGAAAGTAATTGGGTTGCTACAATAGTCTTACCAAAATGTTGTAATAAATTTCACAAACAAAATTCAATTGTGGTGCGTCCCAAAGGGACAATTAAGTTTTAATTGTTTTCACTTTAAGTGTAGCTTGTGTATTTTATTTTGTTCACTTGTAATGGTTATATTTCCGACTTAGCCATATTCTCTATTATTGATATTATATTAGCTTATAACAAAAACAATAATGATAATAATAATCCTTATATTTGGTATAGTGCATTTCACGTCTCAAAGCTCTTCACTGAATATAATGTAAAGTGTAGAGACTGTGTATTTTGTGCCAGCTCTCACTATTGTATAATTTACTTTCACTGGCTTCATCTATGTGTTGTAGCGTTCTCTTTTCTTCTTTGCAATTGTTACACCTGTAGAAATAATTTGCACTTTTAAGGCAGTCTTTTAGAAATTGCTTTTGTATGTACCTCATTGCGGAGTATGTTTTCTGATCAGTAATTTGCCCCTTTTAACCTTTATTTCTATTTACCATCGTCGTTTGAACGCAAAAACGACTTAACTTGATTTGACATTGCTTTATTCTGTAACGTATTGTTCTGTGTCCAAAATTCACTGTGATCATATCGCGTCTTCTTCCCTTAATATTCAGTACCCCTAGATATTTCTTGCAATTGAATCAAATCACAATTTTTTTTTATGCCTCTGATATATTTAACTATTTATAATTTGACGCCCTAGTATTTAGAGGCAGGTTTGTTTGGAAATGTTTTTGTTCACCATTTATTTTAAAAAACATCCAATTACTGAGGCTGTTTCTGATAAATATTAATATACTGACCTTTACTATTTTTCTACTGCAAGGCTTATTTGTTCTATTCATATTCTTATCTCATGTAATTACTTTTTATTTCTGTGTTGATTTAAGTATTTATCACTCAACCTGCATTGGTTGCCAATTCTTTGTGTATGCCAGTGGTCAGCCTACGCAGAGCAGTCACTAGGGGCAGGAAATCATTCCACTCAGCTCCTGTTAACCCTGCAAGCCAAAGCCCTAACAGTAGGGTGATCCTGGCTGGACAAGCAGCGGGAAAGCTTGCCAGACTGTGATATCAATGGCAAGCTATGTGGTTTTAGCTGGTTAGACTCCAGCAGTGCCCCAACACACGCTCTGAGGTCCCTGGACATCTCCAGGTGTCTAGGTCTGAGGCAATAGTGTAGAACCTGGGAAACATACCTTGTAATATAGATATTCCAACTGCATCAGTAGCCTAGAGTTCTGGAAATACTTTCCAAAAAATATTAGCAAAGTAGGCCTCTTTAGAAATCAAACAAAATAAATACAATATACCCTAATGGTAACATGCTTAATGGAGTGCATGAGCAGAGATACATACGTAGGAATACAGATACATAGGTTTTCAAAGATAGATGCAAGTAGTTAAAACCATAAAATAGCTGTATTATTATTAATATTAATATTACTACCAATATTAAAGGGTATTGGTAAAGTTGAGGAGAATGGGATTAAAGTAAACAGTTTAATTGGGGGACTGCACTAACACATACCTGATGGGTCAGGTGGCTTGCTGTAATATTCTACAGTTCTATTGATGTTATATTTTCAAACAGCAGTAAATTAATTATTAAACATGTTTATCATGCTCAGGGATAGATTTTATAATATGCACATTGTACACAAATATAGGTTTGGTGATACAACCTACATACTATAGTCATTGTTAACCTGGACATACTTCTAAGACTTCCTCACTGCTTCTATTACTTCAATTCTCCCACGTCAATGCAAAAACCAAAAAGCCTTGATTTTGCCTGTTGTCTGCACCAACGCACACTTTTAGTACAGTAATACTTGCTGCCCTCAAATGGTTAAATTGAGTCATCACAAGAGATGCTGAGTTTTTATGGGATGGATTATGTCCCCAAAAGCATATTTGCCTGTTTGTCACTGCTGCTACTTGTAAAACATGAGCATTTGCTATTGCTGGAGATTTTTCTCTGCTCAATTTCACAGGGCAACATCGGACATTGTTTGCTGCAGAACCATAGATGGAAGCTTGGTCAGGGCCTTGGAAAAACTCTACAGGGTATGCGTTTAAACATAACAGCATATGTGTTAGAAAGATACCACATTGTTACCCAAGGAGTTTTAGAAATGTAATGGTGTTGTTATTATTATGAGACCCGAAGCTGGATACTATTGGCACTGTTGTGTACTGGAAGTCCCTTGAATCATGATTGATAGATGCTTATAATGACTCCTAGAAATTCCTGCTACTTGTTTGTTAAGCTACATGTGCCACACTCATATACATATAAGGAAGAAATAATTGCTAAGGCTGTGCACATTGTTATAACCTTTGTTGTCATATGGAAATATTGCAGGGTTTTAATCAATGTTGAATGTGTCTTTATTACAACTAAGAAAAGCTGTGCTGCACGAGAATGATAATGGTTTCTGGTTTCTTTCATAGAAAGAATGGTAAATCCTGACATAACATTATATCCGATTGTGGTATTAACATTGCTGGATGTAATAGATGTACAGTCGTTTTGATCAGATAGAGGCAATTGGTGTGATCAGAAATGGAGCCAGTCAGTGTGATCAGATGGAGGCAAATGTTGTAAAAGGGGTAAAAATGAGATTATCGTGGTTAATACTGATTCCTTTCTGATACATTTCTCGTGATGTGAATCACCAATATTAATTGAACTAATTTATCAAGTTATTATTTTTGTTTGACATTATCCAAATGTTAGCTATGATTCATACTACTATTTGTTGGCGAAACGCGGTTGCGATTTGCATACAGCAGTGTCCCACAAACAGTTGAAAAAAAACAGAACCCCGGGAGAGCAATCCGCCAATCGACTAACAACCAGGTTCCTACTTACTGATAGGTAAACAGAGGAGTGTGGAGTAAGGAAACTTGTCTAGGCTTTCACCCCACCATTTCAAATGTATGTTAAAGATCCCATTGCACGATTTGAAAAGAGATGGGAATTTCTCTCTTCCAGTGTCCTGGCCAACAATGCTCCAAATAGAATCAATCATTCACTGCATCGGTACTTGTATGACATTACTACGTGCAAATTGGCTGCTGCACTCACCCACAAAACACACATTCACCCTGTGAAGCGCTTTGGGTTGTCGTATCAACATAAATGGCCCTATACCAGGATTATTATTATATTGTTATTAGTTGAGGATGTTTTGTTTTAAGAAAAAGATTGCTTTGCAAAGTCATGATGATATATAATGACATCATGAGAATTTCCATATTAGGTAGAATTCATGGAACTCTTAGTTTGGTTTGGACACTCTTAAGTGTGGATGGGTTGCTGCATATGTCAGACACCCAGCTGAGCAAAACAAAAAGGCATTATTGGCTGTGTGTAACATGGCAACATATACTCATAGTTACAATTTAAAATTCAATTTCATTACAGTTAATAAAAACATAATAAAATGGCAGAAAATTGAAATGGAGAATCCTAACACAAATAAAATGAGTAAAATCAATTCACTTTACAGTATATTCTATGAAACGCTTTGAGATGTCTAGAAGATGTCAAATGTGCTATATCAAAATGCAAGGATTATTTATATTATATATATATTCTCATCAGGTCTGAGAGGTAGGAGAGGGCGAGGCCGTGGAGGGCCTTGAAGGTGAGGGCGAGAATTTTGAACTTGTTCCTCTCAGGGATGTGGAGCCAGTGGAGCCGGGCGAGGGTGGGTGTAATGGGGTTACGGAGCCTGGTGCAGGAGTGGACATGACCTGCTTGTTGAGGGCAGAGTTGGGAAGGCTGACAAGCAGGGAGTTGGCATAGTTGAGTCTAGACGTAATGGAGTCCTGTAGCTCAGTGATTAGAGCACTCGCTTTGCAAGCGAGAGACCTGAGTTCAATTCCAGGCAGGGAAACCTTGGACAAGTTTCCTTACTCCACAGGTCTAATAATAATCCCTCCAAAAAAACCCAGTAATAAATTGGTCATTTTTAATCTATGACTGTTTGTGGGACATTGCTGTGCGCAATTGGCTGCCGCGTTCGCCCACAAATATTCAGTCAATTCACTTTACTGCATATTCTGTGAAGCGCTTTGAGACGTCTAGAAGACGTGAAAAGCGCAATATCAAATGTAAGGATTATTATTATATACAAAGAGCAGGAATATTTAACAAAAGTTCAAACTTTGTAAGTGAAAGTTTATTAGATGGTATTCTGTGGTAGCTGATCTGCATGCAAATTTAAAAAAAATTGAAGTCATATTTTATGATGTCTTTACAAATACTACTTTGACTACAATTTGGGGAAACATTGTATTTTACAAGGGGTTTCTTCCATCGGAAAAATAAGTAGGACATTGTCAATGTTGTAATGCATTGTCAGCTGCATGAAAGTCCTTAAACTTTTCATATGTAGGCTGAGAAATGTGGAGATAATAACTATACGTATCTTCTTTGTGGTACTTTATTATAAAAGGTTTAGGTAAATGTGTGGCACAGATAGAATACATCATGGCCAAATGTGAGGTATGAAACTATCTCTATTTATGTTTCTGATAATAACTCACTTACAAGTTGTTTGGTCATGCCCAATTTATCATAGCTTGCTGGTATGGCTGGTTCGCTGCTACGTATCTAATGATACCATTTCAGTTTCTTGAAACTACCATTGTATCATGTGTACAAATGCTTCATTTTTTAGTTATTTTTAGACTTGTACATTTAAGATTCTTTTGTATTAAGTTTCAGTCCTAAAAACAAGTTCACAAATCAATTACTTTAAGTGAATGCTGTCCTTAAGCATGGGTTCAGCCTCTTTGACATTACATCATTAATTATGTAGCCAATTCTAGCAGCTCAGTTGGTTTAGCATTGAATGTGGAATTGGCAGGTCTGATGTGAGTTTGTCTCAGAGGTGAATTCTCACAGGTTAGCATGCCTTACATGAAGTTCGCAGGTCAATGTGCTGTATCTTCTCTGGAGCCATTTGTGCTGCCATAGTTTGGTGAGCAATTTTTCAACCCCAAATGTGTTATGAATTTGCCTTAGAGGTTGAACAACAACAACTTGAATTTATACAGAGCCTTTCATGAGTTTAGAGTTTTGGAGTACTCAACAATGGTGGAGCTTGATGCAGAGCAGGGAGAGAGAGGGAAGGTGGCTGTAAACACAATCAAAGAGGAAGTTTCAGATGCAATCTGAAGATGGGCAAGGTGAAAAGATTGAGGCAAAGTTACAGAGGTTTGCAGTGTAGTTGCTGAAAGCATGGCCACCATTGATTGAATGGAGAGATTGAGGATAAGGGACATGTAGCAGGTTGGAGCCAGCTGAGAAAAGGAGCGGGTCGAGGAGTGAGGTATAAGCAGCTCGAAGATGTAGGAGGTGTTAAGTTGTGAATTGATTTGTAAGTAAGTGTGAAGATCTTGAAATTGATCCCTTCTGCAGTAGGAATCAGGCAAAGACTGGAGTGTTGGGGTTGTGGACTTTGGCACAGGTGAGGATAACCGCAGCAGAGTTTTGGATCAATTGGATCAGTTGTATTATTAAGGTGACTGTGAAGCACTGTTTAATTTTTTTTCTGGAGGTATTTATTTCTCAACATACCATGTACCATTCCAAACAAGCAGTCAGTGGAGCCTGTAGGAGGAAGACCATAAAAGCAATCTAGGTTGAGAATGTCCACTCTGCTTGATTTCCTCCTCCTACCCTCTTCCCCGGAAAGTAAATCTAAGAAATAAGAACAAAAAAAATCATTTGAACAATCAGATTTGGTTCTTTTCATTGATAATCTATACAGTTATGGAGTTAAATTTCTAATTTCTGAAGTAAGTGGTTTTCTGCAGGCAAAGGACGGAAGATATATGAAGTGCTGGTGGAATTCCTTGTTGACCCAAAGAGCAGTAATAAGAGAAATTCTGGGACTCCAGTCTGACGTTGCAGTTTACACTATTCAACCCTGACCAATTGCATTCTACAGATGACATTTCCATGTTTCCTCGACCCCATCCCTACCCCCTCCTTACCTCCCAGCTCCACCTCCTTGCCCCTCTAACTCACTGACATTGTTAACCTCTCCATCCTCTGGTACTGTTCCCACCCCTTTAAAAACCGCTGTCATCACTCCTATCCTTAAAAACTCCTCCCTGGGCCCTTCATTACTCCCTAACTACTGCCCCATCTCCAACCTCTCCTTCCTCTCCAAGGTCCTGGAACGAGTTGTTGCTTCTCAGCTTCGCTCTTTCCTCTCCTGCTACTCCTTTCTCGAACACCTCCAATCGGGCTTCCATACCGCCCACAGCACAGAAACAGCCCTGGTCAAAGTGACAAATGACATTCTATCCATCTGCAACCAGGGCTCCCTCTGCCTCCTTGTCCTCCTTGACCTTTCTGCTGCTTTCGACACCGTCAACCACTCCATCCTCAACCACTGCCTCTCCTCTCACTTCATCCTCCATGGTGCTGTCCTTGATTGGTTCAGATCATACCTGTCACACCGCCTGCACTTCAACTCCTCAAACAGCTTCTCCTCTAGCCCCCGGACCATCTCATGCGGGGTTCCTCAAGGCTGTGTCCTTGGTCCCCTCCTCTTCAATATCTATATGCTTCCTTTTGGTGACATCATCCGCAGACATGGGGTCAACTTCCACATGGATGCGGATGACACCCAACTGCATCACTCTGCCTCCACCCTTGACTCAGGACCACTGCTGTCTTGACAGAATGTCTGTCAGACATCAAGTCCTGGATGAGAGCTAACTTTCTTCGTTGAACGTCAATAAGACCGAGGCTTTCCGATTGGCTCCCGTCAGCGTCTCCTCACCTCAGCTTGACTATTCAAACTCGCTGCTTGTCGGCCCCCCCAACTCCTTCCTCCATAGGCTGCAGATCATCCAGAACTCTACAGCCTGTGTCCTCTCCTGCACTAGGCTCCGAGACCCTATCACCCGAATCCTTGCCCAACTCCACTGGCTTCCCATCCTTGAGCATAGTGTTCAAAATCCTAATCCTCGCCTTCAAAGCCCTCCATGGTCTTGCTCCCCCCTACCTCTCCGATCTCCTAACCCACGACTATCCTGTT